ACCTCCTCCTCCTCCTCCTCCTCCTCCTCCTCCTCCTCCTCCTCCTCCTCCTGTGTGTGTTTCACGTGCCCGCGGACGAGAGAGGACCGCATCGGCAGAGAACACCACCGTCAACGTTGACCCAGAGCCTCGAACCTGCGCAAAGGGAGGTTGATAGCTCCAGGCCACGACGTGGTGAAAGTTAGTGCTAACTTTACAGGTTCGCGGTGCCTTCGCAAAATGCTTGTTGTGCTTCGTTGTCTAAGTTTTGGCCGTGTCCGTGTTCTGGGGCGCTGGTGTTGGGATCATCGGTTGTCGCGCAGGTTTGGCCCGCCGCCAGTGCTAGGTCCTCCCAGGGTAACCCCACGGCCCATATGTGTTTTGGTCGAGCGCATCTGTCCCATACACTCGCTGAAGTTCGAGGAGCCATATTTTGCCAGTCGTGTGGGGCCCTCGCGGTCCATAATGTGCAGCAGTTGGCCGCTGAGTGTCCACCGAAGCCCACGGCCATTGGACTCTCCAACATCGCGCGGCTGACCAAGGGCAAACCCCCGAAGAGTGGCATGTCCTTCCTCGCGCCCTGAAGAGGTTGATGCTCATTTGAGGTTGGCCCTAACTCGGGGCTGACCGCGTGGGGCTGCGCGTGCACACGGGCGCCACATATACCCCGAAATCCTCCTCCTCCTCCTCCTCCTCCTCCTTCTCTTTCTTCTCCTCCTCCGCCTCCGCCTCCGCCTCCTTTTTCTCCTCCTCTCCCTCGTCCTCCTCCTCCTCCTCCTCCCTCTCTCCCCCCTCCTCCTCCTCCTCCTCCTCTCCTCTCCTCCTCCTCCTCCTCCTCCTCATCCTCCTCCTCCTCCTCCTCCTCCCCGCCTCCCCGTTCTCCTCCTCCTCCTCCTCCTCTTCCACCTCCTCCCCTGCCTCCTCCTCGTCCTCGTCCTCCTCCTCCTCCTCCTCTTGCTCCCCCTCCTCCTCCTCCTCCTCCTCCCAGTGCCAAGGCAGAAGTACGAAGAGAAGAAGGGAAGAAAGCGGCAAGAACTCGTAGTACGGCGTAAAGGGCGAAAGAAGGCATGGTAAGCAATGACAGTTTGACAAAAAAGGACGAAGGCTAGGACGCGCACGGATGAGACACAGCCCCTTGACGCAGGGGATCCCAGCAGCAGAGAAGACGACGGCGACAATCCCAAAGCAGAACCAGACGCTGAGAAGAAAGCGGCAAGGTCTGGGAGTTCGGCGCAAAGGACGGAATAATAACAACCATCAAGTCCACCAGGTACGACACGCACGCAGAAGCGCAACACAAGACGAAGCGATGGGAATGAACCCCTTGACGCAGGGGCAATCATGAACGATCCCCTTGACATAGGGGCGCAAGGGAAGCAGAGCGACACCAAAGCGGCAAGGACATGCAGGACAACGGAAAGGACGGACGAACCCAGGAACGAAGCAATACCAAGCTCGCCGAACAGCAGCAACGAAGGGCACCAAAGAAGGACAGATGGACAAAGCGGGGCCGAGGCAACAAAAGGAGAGCCCCTTGA